GCGCCACTGTGGAGCTCGGCGCGCTGGGTGGGGGTGCGGAGGGATCCGGCTCCGGGTCCTGGCCTGGGGGCCCCAGCGGGCTGGGTCACACACTACAGAGATGCAAATGTGCACCGCTTGCAGACCCAGCTTGCGAGGCGAGGACGCGCGGACACTCAGCTCCCGCGAGACACACCCAGGTGCACCCTGAGCACACATAGTATTCGCGCACGCACAGCCAAGGATGGCTGCACATCTTTGGTGCAAGGCCTGGCACATAGTTGCCTGTGCACACTCACGCCCTTTGACGGGTGCTAGGCCATGCCACACCCCGTGGTAAGTGCGGACAGACACACTGGGCACACAGATTTACACCTATAGATAACACAGCACACACACGAGATGCAGTTTGTGCAAATATAGCACACACATCTGTATACTCCTTTTTTGGACAATACACACACACACACACACACACCGCACTCGCACACACACCACAGAGGCAGCATTGACATGCCCAGGCAGATTCACCTTTAGCTGCCCAGGGACACAGCAGTTATGTGCCCAGGTCCCTGCAAAGGTTGACACAGAAGTCCATGCACACATGTATGGCTCACATGGCCGAGCCCTCCACCTGGCCCACTGCTTGTGTCTCACAGACTCCCAGTGTGCCCTGTTGGGGTGATAGTGTCTCAGGTCACTCCATCATTCACTGTCTGTCTGTCCCTGTCCTTTTCTATCACTGCTTTTTATATTTCATTTCTTTCTTTATTTTGGTACCAGGGGTCTAACTCGAGACCTTTGCTTGCGAGTCAGGTGGCAGAACCGCTGAGCTAAATCCCCAGCCCTTTTTTATATTTTATTTGAGACGAGGTCTCACTGTGTGGTCTGGGCTGGTCTGGAACTCATGGTGATCTTCCTGCCTCTTTTTCCCAAGTGCTGGGATTATAGGCATGCACTGCTATGCCTAGCTTTAGTTTCTCCTTTGTGTCTGTTTTTCTCCACTCTTCCCCTTTCCACCCCCCCCCCGCACACAGAGTGGCCCTATACCTGCCTGCATGCACAATTTTCCACTGTCTCAGACCCCGCCACACCTCTCATCCGTCTGGTAGGACAGTTAGATCGAGCCACACCCAAGAGGGACACAACCCTCAAGGATGGGGACACTGGACAGGCAGTATTTGCTTCTTGCCAGTTGCCCCTCCCCACAACACACACCCTACTCCCACAACACCTGGAGCTAGTTCTCCAACACGCACTCCTGGGTACCTGCCTGGGCTGCTTTCCCAAGGGCCACTTGGAGGCCACAAAGCTGGAGTAGATGCACAGTGTCAGGGGAAGGGGGACCTATAGCCCCAGGACTCGCTGCCCCTCTATTAGTCCAAGACTTCTGCAAGGAGCAGTATACCTCCCTTTAAGAACAGCACCCTCACTTCCTGACCGCACCCCCCTTTTGCACATCTTAGCTCTGGCAGCTTCCTGAGCCCCCACATCTGGCACAAGCTAGCCCCTCCTCCTTCCTACCCCTGCCTGTGGTTCCCAGGGCTGGAGCTGGCAGGGACAGCTGCATCCCCAACAGCTGGGGCTGGGGTGGGGGGCCGTGGGAACTGTGGATAGGGGCCTCTGTGCACCCACAGAGACACCCCAGCCCAGTGCAGCTGTTGCCTGGCAGCAGGAGGGAGGGGTTCTGTCCCTGTGGGTTGAGTTCCTGGGCGCCTGGCTGACCCCTACCTTCCTTCACCCCCACGCAGCCCCCCCTTGCCTGGATGGAAGCCCGTGCGCCAATGGAGGTCGCTGCACCCAGCTGCCCTCCCAGGAGGCTGCCTGCCTGTGAGTGCCTGGCCCAGTGCCAACAGTGGGCCCTGAGTGGGCGGGGAGTCTGTCCTTTTCCTTTGCTTCTGTGTGCCATGTCCTACACATGTGTGGCTTGGGTCGCCTCTCATGTTTTCCCCCTTGGGAATGAGCAGGCTTTGGGAGTCCGTCTAGTGTGGGTTCAAATCCCATGTTGTGGTGCTGACTGGCCAGAAATGAATCCCTTAACCATTTCCATTTTTATGGGCCCAATAACCCCAGCTTCATAGGATTCTTGGCTTCCTAAGGTTACACTTAAAGCCCTTATCAGGAGGCAGTTATTTGATTTAGTAGTTGAGGGCACAGGAGGCCTGTAAGAGTTGTCCTGGTCTGCCGTTTTCTTTCTTTTGCTATTTTTATTTTTTTGAGACAGGGTCTTGCATGCTGTGTGGTTCAGACTCTGCTTTATGTTACTGTGTAGCTCAGACTGGCCTCAAACTTGTGGCAGTCCTCCTTCTTCAGCTTCCCAAGTGCTGGGATTACAGGCCTGCACCACCATTCCTGACTATCTGCCATTTTCTTGCCGGGTGACCTTGGACTAGTCATTTCCCTTTTCTGCATCTGTGAAAGAGGAGAGCTCTCCATCCCTGGCTTGTGATTGAAGGAACCCCCAAATTTAGTTGTTTCATAACACAAGAGAAGGCAGAGGGCTGTGGGGTGGGGAGAGCAGGGGCTGGGGAAGATCTGACAGAACGAGTCAGCTCAGCTGGAATTCTGGTCTCTGGGATATTTTGAGCAAAGGATTGGGGCTTTCTGAGCTCAGTTTTTGTACCTGGAAAAATGGGGCAATAATAATCTAGGCATGGTGGTACACACTTCCCTGCAGTCAGGAGGCTGAGGCAGGGGGATTGCTGTGTGTTCTGCCCAGCCTGGACTACATAGTGAGTTCAAGGCCAACATAAACTACAGAGGCAGACCCTATCTGAAAACAACAACAACACAATGGGGGCAATAATAGTTCTTTATGGGTGTGGGTGTAGAGATGAAAACAGACTGTAGGATTGCTCAGCATATAGTAAGTGCTCAAGAAATGCTCAAAATTAATAATGATAAGGGCAGAAGAAATAGGTGGTATACGGGGAAGCCTCTTAAGGTGATAGGAGAAAGGATTGGTCTCTTTTAAGTTATAATTGGTAAGAATAGCGCACCCGGAGCCACTCACTGCTTCGTATTCATTTCATGTATTCATTTCATCAACAGCAGAGATGCCAAACAGTGGGCCTGGGGTGACTGTAGAACCAGAATAGACTCTGGCTGGGTCCCCTCTTGGGTTCACCTGTTTGGGAGGCGCTGAGGTGGGCTGGGGGGAGAGGCTCCTGACGCTGACGGGGCGGGTGGGTGGTCTGCGTTGGTGGGGTTGGGAGAAAGTGTG